TCACTCTTTGATGGAAACAAGTTTTCTGTCATATGAAACTTAAAGTATAAAAGACCCATTCACATACATGCAGGCAATACACTCGTACACATAAAATAAATAAATAAATAAAACATTTTGAAATATTTATTTCTTTGATTCATTTGACAATACTTTGTTGAGCAAAAAGTCATTACCCACCTGAAAATGTAACTTATGAAAAATACAATTCATTCTCCAGCTTTTCAATTGAAAATAAAGCACAGCAAAGTATAATTAGCTACTATGTTGAAAATATATCTTTCCAATTTTGAGAATAAAGTCATTAAAATGAGCATGTACTCAGAAGGCATATGATAAGTGTATTAAAAATCTCTTCCTTTCTTCCATGAAAATTAAGCAAATCAGATATAAAAATCACTTATTTGTAAGAGTTTTTGTTGTTCACAGTCACTGCTCTAATGACAGAGGAGGAAATATGGCTCATATCAATGACCAGCATATTCATAAAGTTCAGGATCAGGATGCAGATGATTCTCAACTGACATCAGTATACTCTATAAATATAGAACTCGTTACAGACATGGTTCTCAGAGAAATAGCAAGAATGAAGCATTTTCAGCAATGAGAGGTAAACCACCCAAACAGCTGCCTTGTGGGAGGATGCTCGATGCACTCAACAATCTCAATCACTGCCATTTTCAGAAATGTCAATTTGCTAATTGCATGCAATTAGAGGGGGTAGACTTTTGCCAAATCTTTGATAATTAGTGTGATCCAACCAAGAAAAGACGCAAATTTCCTTTCATTTGGAATACAGCGCTGTCTCTCGATAATACGTATCTTCTGTTTTCCTCTGTCAAAGATATAATTTCCACATATGCTTTTTTTATGTACTAGTGAACTGAAATTCAAACCACTCTCTTAGGTTTTGGCCAATGCCAAAATGAAATGAAGTCTCAGATGTGTGAGGAAAGAATGATGTCTCTGAATAGCTGACCATTTTGATCATATTGTCACCCTAGAATTTTATAATAGATACTGATTAAGCCAAGTTATATACTTTATTTTGGAAGACTTAGACTAAAAATTCCTTCTTCAGACTTGTAATTTTTGCAAGTTAGTTCTTGGAGAAATGTTTTAGAGATGAAAATCATAATGCTTACATAAGCTGCTCTGAATTACTAATAAATTCATATCCATTTGACAAGCATCTTAAGTTGGTTATTACTGTTTTGGATTTAGATAGCTTTAGAAATTATTTCCAAATTTAGAAGAATTTATACTATTTACCTCACAACAGCAGTATGATAACTTACTAAATTCTGTTATAAAGTCTCTCCACAAAACCTGGTAAGACAGCATGATTAGTCTTCACCAAATGACTTTGAGAAAAGTTTCATGATATGAACAGATTCTAGTGATAAGTGGTAAATGTGGCTGCAAGATAACCCTCCACACTTCTAACTTGATTTTTCTGTGTGTCAGATTATCTGTATTACCAACAAGAAGTGTTCTAATACCAGGCTCCATAAAATGCTATACATTCAAGAACTAGACAAGGTATGGGGCTGTTAACTACCATTTTCAAAGAT